ATTTGATTAGAAAAGAACACAAGTGTTTTATTAGTGAGCTTCGGATATTATACAACATCTGGTTTGTCTCACCGATAACCTCTTTAGTTAAGGTTCCACCGGCTGTAGTTATTTGATTTAGACTACTAGCTATTTACCTCGTATAGCCAGTTTCACCCTGGAACTCATAAAATAAAAAATCAGGCTAAATTTAGTCGCGAAAGCACATTCCGCCGCGAGCCTCGTATCGACGAGGACTAATTTTACTCGATGTGGAACAACAATGCGGCGCTGACGTGTCTCAGGGGAGTAGAGGCTGTGTGCATCGTGTCCCCAGGGGCAAGAAAACAAACAGCAAAGCAAGGGACCTGTGATGTAAGCTAATAGTGTAAAAATGTTGTCTTAATTTAGATTCTGGAACTTAGGCCAGTCCACATGGTAGCGCGGCAAAAAACTGTGGTGGCTGCAAATCACTCACGCCGCACCTGACCTCTTATCATGGATGAAGCGCTCGAGTCCCCAACATCCACGCCCGTGATGGACGACGATCACGATGAGCGCCGCCCGCTTCTTCTGCGATTCCCCTACAGTCTCGTGATGAAAGTATCGCTGAGTGAGCCCCGTGATGTCCTTCAAACGGAGCGGACGACGTTGACGTTTGTGCGGTTTGCTACCACCCTCTTCTTCACCGCCATGGGGATGATTCTCAATTTCCGCATCAATTCCTCCGGTAACCCGTCTCTGGGATACCGCCACCCGTTTTCCGAGTGGAGTTCGACGATCATTCTGTTTGTTCTCATCGTGTTAGCGTTGTTTACTTTAATTCTTCTGGGGGTCAATTATATGTTCTCCATTCGACGCTATGCTGACCATAAGATCCACACTCACGGTTTCAGTAATAAGCTGACGGCAGTGTGTTTCACCGCAGTGGTATTAGCGCTTGCTGCTATCTGTGTTCTATTTATTATCGAAGGGTACGTGCTGAAATAGGTTCTATGCTTTAGAGGTCTTTTTGTGTTTGCGCTTGGGCTTGGAGGTCTCTGCTGCGGCTGCCTCGTCCGGCTGTTGACGACGCTTTTGCAGCTGTCGCTTCTCGCCGAAGTGCTCCTTGTCCATCTCCAGCAATGCCTCCCGCTTCGCCATCGACACCTCTTGTAACAGCTGTTCGATGACGTCGTCGTCCTTAATGTCCTCCAACAACTCCATCTTCTTGTTGATACGCTCCTCGATGGCGTGGACTCTATCAATATCCTTTTCAGCAATAATCGAAACTGCGGTACCACGTCTGCCAGCTCTGGCAGTTCTCCCGACTCTGTGAATGAAATCGTCAGGGTCAGCAGGGAGATCAAAGTTGATTACCAATCCGACTGAGGGGATATCCAACCCTCTCAGCGCCACGTCGGTGGCGATTAAGATGCGAGCAGCACCGGCTTTGAACCGATGCAATGAGTTTGTCCGTTCCGACTGGGGCATTTCCGAATGAAGACTGGCGACCTTGAAATCTAGTTTGCGTAGCGTGCGTCTCAACACTTCGGCGGTGTGGGTGCGGTTGACAAACACCACTGCCGTCGATTCGGCAAACTGCTCGAGGCGGAGCACTTGGACGCAGTAGGAGTCTTTGACGTATGAAGGGACAAACACGTATTCGATCTTAAGTGTCAGCGGGATCGCGACTTGGTCCACAGTTTCCACTTCATGAATAAACACTGGCGGTTTACCCGGAGGCGTAGGCTTATCCTTAAGCGCTCTCACGGCATCAGTAACGGTAGCCGTAAATAATAGAGTCTGCCGTTTATCAGCAGGAGGCAACACCGAGAAGCACCGAGCCAAGTCCTTAGAGAACGAATTCAGTAAAAGACGATCGGCTTCATCGAGCACCAAATACTTCACCCGGCGAAGACCGGCGATCGTCTCTTCGCCCAGGTTCAACACGTGATGGGCAAGTCTCCCGGGCGTAGCAATGACAAAATGGGGTCGTTTCAGGAGCTCAAGCGCCTGTTTGATCATATCTTCACCACCGACGACCACTGCCAATTTGACATTCATCAGAGCACCGAGAGCGGCGAACTGCTCGGCGATTTGCATGGCTAATTCTCTGGTGGGGGTAAGGATTAAGCCGAAAATGCCAAAGGGGTCTTCGGACCACTGGGTAAGCATGGGAGCCGCAAAGGCGATGGTCTTACCGGACCCGGTTTTGGCCCCGCCGATACAGTCGTGCCCTTTGAGGATGGGGGGGATGCACTCCTTTTGGATGGCGGTGGGGGTGTGGATCTTCATGGTGTCGAGAGCCTCGGCAAGCCATTTGGCGACGCCGACACTGGTGAACGAGGTGGCCATGGGTGTGTGGTGTGTGGGTGTGAAGGAGATGGGATGGAGATTCGTTGGTTAGTGGCCCCGAAACTAGTGCGATGAGACGATAAGGTTGAGAACAGGGAACATGTAAATGAAGGACAAAGTTATAGTCGAGGCATGTGACCAGTAATTAAATACTACTAGAAGAGTCTGATAAATTAGTTTCATAATTTTATTTTGAGGTAGGTTGCTCATTTTGCAAATTAGTCGCAGTCGTGATGATGACGCTGAGATCATTAAACTCTAACAATAATCACGCTAGGCGCTAGTGATTATCCAAGAAACGTATCTGGTTTTATGGCTACTACTTTCAATCAGTTAAGTTCAGCCATCGTTAATTGCTGCAATATTATGTCCAATTCAAATTCTCATACTATTATAACGCAGAATACCGTCCACGATTTCTTGATCAGGTGGCGAGAGTACCACAGTATCGATTTTTACTCTCCAAATGCCGGGATCTCTTTAAATATATCAAAATCTCCTCCGTTAGCTTCCTCGCTTGATCACGGCTGAGCCGCACTGGCATCGCCAGGTATGTTGCGACGTGGGGTCCCCTGGCGAGTGTCGGGTCTAACGCCACGCCCGTGGCTTTCACGACGTTGGTACCTGTCCCAAATTGAAGATATCGATGGTGAAGACGAGACCCTCGAGTTTCGCCTGGACTACCTTCCTGAGTCGTCGTACCACCTCAGGTTCCGCGACCCTGAAGAGCCGCCACGGGGCACGCCGGCGCTGATCAAGGGCCCCGAAGGCGTGCTACATTATAGAGACGTGGGAGTTGACGAGTACGGCTTCCAGGAAGCGGATATGTCGCTCTCCGACTACTTCTACGGCAACCCCAACCACACGCACAACGTGTTTTACGGCACCAAGATGGCCATGGCCAACCAGGCACGCAAAGTGGAAGGGCGGACGTTTGTTGATTTGAGGATTCTCCGAGCAAGCAGCGGCGCTGGCGGCAACGGGTGTATCTCGTTTTTTAGGGATGCTAATGCCCCCACAGGTCCTCCCGACGGCGGCGACGGTGGCGACGGGGGCAACGTGTATATCCTGGTGGTCGAGCGCAACATGGGCTCGTTGCACCGGTTGACACGTACGTACACGGCTAAGCCTGGTACCAGTGGCAAGGGGTCGCAATTGGACGGCAAACACGGCGACGACGTGATTATCGAGGTTCCTGTGGGGACCACGCTCAGGTGGATTCCCGACCCGTTTGTTCTCAAAAAGTACTTGAGCCGACGGGAAAACCAAGCCGTAGAGGACGTGATGATGACGCTCAAGACCAGCGGCACCGGCGAGATCCAGATGTTCCGCGACGACTACGCCCCTGGCGAGGGGTGGCTGTTTTCTGAGTACGACGACGAGTACTACCGCGCCAAGGACTACTTTGATGAGCTCAACACCAAGGTGAAGCAGTACGACGAGGAGGTGGTGGGGATGGAGGTCACGAGCGACCGGTTCCCCTTGGTGGGCATCGACTGCAGTAAGCCCACTACCAAGCCGATCTTGTTGCTTTCAGGGGGCAAAGGCGGGTTGGGCAACATGCACTTCCTCACCCTGAACATCCGAAACCCCCGGTTCGCCAAGCGCGGGCGCAAAGGGCTCACCGCCTACTTCCTCCTCGAGCTCAAGTTGATTGCCGATTTGGGGCTTGTGGGCCTCCCCAACGCCGGCAAGCTGTCGTTGCTCCGGGCGATATCTCGGGCGCGTCCCCGGGTGGGCCACTGGGAGTTTACTACGCTCCAGCCGACGATCGGCACCATCTTCACGTCGATCGATCTGGACCCGTTCACTGTCGCCGACATTCCCGGGATTGTCCGCGGCGCCCTGGCCAACCGGGGGATGGGGCTCGACTTTCTCCGCCACATCGAGCGGCTGGGGGGGCTCGTGTTTGTGGTGCTGTTGGAGAGCGCCAGCCCCCAGGCCGACCTCCAAGTGCTCATCGACGAAGTGGGGCCGCGCCGGATGAAGGGGAAGAAGGTGCTTGTCGTCGCTACCAAAGCCGACCTCCTGGACGACGGCGCCAACTACCAGCCGCTCCGCGCCCACGTGGAGGCCCAGGGGTGGCAGATCGTCCCCGTGTGTGCTCCCGAAGGCCACAACATCGAGCGGTGTATCCGGCTCATGGGCGACATCGCCCGCGACCACCATTAGTGCTTTTTTCATGTATATAGCTGGGGAGTGGTTTCCCCGAAGTTCCGAAGTTCCGGTTTTCTAGAACCACCACCCCCTACCCGTTGGGAATTTTTTTAGTCATTGACGAAAGATAGTGTCGGATCGGCAATCCGATTTGTTTTACTTCTAAGCCTTGATTGAGAACACAAGTGAGTAATTGAAGGATCCTCGGGTTCTCTCGCAGATTTCCCGACATCTCCGAAAAAAAATTCCTTTGAGTGGGCGGGGGCTGCGCAACCAGGGAGGGGTTTCTTATGTCCCAGACACTACTATGGTAGAAGCTACCACTAGGGGAGGTTACCATGACAGTGTAGTAGTAGCTCAGGCAATGATTTCTCGGGATTAGCGGATATAGCCGGTCATCGCTCAAGACGGCTTACCCGCCAACCACCGAGGCATGGCGGCTGACTAAGGCTTCGTCAGCGTGGTTTAGTCAGCGCACAAACAGGCGGCCTGGCTCGTTACCATCTTTTGAGTAAAACGTTGCCGGGGTTCCGCAAATATCAGCTTGGTGGGTGGGTCATCTCCGGTCACAATACCGATTGATTTGTGCGCTTAGCGAAGCCGACATCACCTGTCATTTCTTTGTGTTTTTGCTCGCGGTTGCCTAATGGGGACATTGGGCCGTTGCTTTGCTGAGGCCCGCTCAAATTTGCTTTCAAGGGACACCCTCAAAGGGGCCGAAAAAACAGCAGCGACGGTGACGGAGACTGCCAAGGTATAGGGGGGGGAGATATCACCTGTTTGGGATTGGGGAATTTTAATTGAGAAGGGGAAATACTCAAGCAGGGTGATGTGGCATTCACCGGTGATGCGCTGGGATCAGGCGCCTGGAGCGCCTTTCTCGCCACGGGTGGTTCGGTTGCCACGCTCGGCGCTGGCGACGCCCATTCCCCGACGCCCCGATAATTTTTCTTCCCGCGGGGCGCCCCCGTCTCAGGCGGGCATGCCTGCGCGCATGTACCTGAGCCTGCGATGTGCATCTGTCAGTGCGTACATGGCTCGTGACCGAGGCAGCCGCCGGCCATGCAGCAACGGGCGCCCCGAGCGCCCTCGCGGTATATATTATGCTGGCAGCGCCCCTGGCGCCGTCAGCGATCCTGTTTGCTACTTTTTGACCAGATTACTCGTTGTCCCACTCATCCTTTGGCGCCTTCTTTCCTTGCCCTTTACCACCGACCCCGCCTGCCGATGTTTGCCAACCCTCAATTAAAACCCGCTCGCGACGTCGCTGGCGACGTCGGCGACGACTACTTCAGCCGCCGCCCTCGTCTCCGTCTCCGGGTCGGCGACGACCACTGCGCCCGCCTCGAGCCGCTGCTGCCTCCGTTACCACTGTCGGAAGTGCCGTCGTTGGCGCTGCCCGAGCTGGCGCTGCCGCCGCTGCCCCTCGCCGACGATGCCCACTTCCCGCGCACAGCGCCGACGCGGATGCTGCTGGCGCCGCTGATCTTGGACCTGGTGCCCCAGTACTCCCCTTTGGAAGACAACCTCGACTTGGACCACTGCTTTTTTCCCCTCAACTACACCAATTTTTCGTTTTTGATCGTTGACGACAACATCATCAACGTCAAGGTGCTCACCAAGCTCATCCACAAGTTGTACCCGAATGCGCACATCATCCTGACGGTGAACCTGACCCAGGTGCCGCAGATGCTCTTGGAGAACCACGTCGACTGTGTGTTTATGGACATCGACATGCCTGTGATCACCGGGATCGACTTGGCGCTGATGATCCGCGCCCACCCGGCGTACAACAGGATGGCGGTGATCGCCGTCACCACGAGAACGCTGGCACGCGACCTCGCCCGCTACGACGAGGTCGGCATCGACGCCACCATCAGCAAGCCCATCCGCTTGCCTTACGACGCCACCATGGACCGCATCGACCGCGCGATCCTGGCGAGACAATGACCGTTACGACGCTTACGATAGGACCCTTATAGAGATAAACAACTTTCCTTCAAATCAAGTTGTAGATCACAGTAGATCAGAGATTTTTCATCGAAGAAAACCAACAAAATTCCAACGAAAAAAGTACAAAAAACTTTTACGGACACCACCAAGCCCTGTGAGCGACTTACGAACCCCACAAGTGGGTTCCCGAGTGTCGGTAACGATGCGGCGCTAGCGTCATTAGCCTCAACCGGGACTAGTGGCGGGCTTGACTTTTTGTGGCATTGCTGCCACTGGTTGGCGATCGGCGGCCTTTTGCTTCGTTGCTCTCATCACCTTGCTAGCATCACAGCGCCAAGCCACGGGGGTGGTTTTTCTATCAATTAACTAAACCTTGATCCCTACGGTTGCTAAACGCTAAATCACTGATAGTAGATATTTGGGGGAATTTGCTAACGTCACCGCATTTTCGTGGGGACGCAGCGTTAAGCGCGGTTTTTCGCCCGTCGCATTTTGAGTGGCCCCACTAGCCTCGCACACGACCCCTAGCGACCGCCTCGCCCCCGCCTCACACCAGCAGCGCCCGCCCTTCGCCACTGTACATGTCCCGATATCGACAAGTCAACAACATCCCCGCAAACGGGGCTGGTAGGGCGGGGTAAAACCCTAAGCTTTTGTTTACGGTGGTTATCAGTAGTGTCGGCCCACCACCCGATCCGTTGGTGCCACTAAGCAGCGACTCCTAAACGCCCCTTTAGCGCTGAGTCATCGGCTCACGCCCCCACCCCCTATACGCGCGCCGGCGCTTATGAGGCACTTTAGCATGGTGATGATCGATCTGCCTAAGCAACACGTATGGAAACATGAACTCCCGGGCATGTGCGTCTAGAGGCAGCTGCCGGCAGCAGCGACGTGATGTGTCTCAACAACGCAAGTGACCCCAGTGCGCCCACGCGGCCACCACTTGCTACCAACTGCGGCTGGTGCTACCAGTTTTATCATCCGAGCAAAACCCGCCGGGTGGCGGTTGCTGGAAATCGCTCACCTGTCCGCCAGCGGCAACAGTTGCCCCCAGCGGGATCCGCCCCTCTTCGGATGCCGGCGTTCGACGCACCTCGGCAATAACGACGCGCCTCCATGTCCTTGAAAACGCACCCTCTACACGCCCAGTGCCCATCGCCTCAGGGGTGTCAAGTGACCAATACTCAACGGTCTGCTGGCGCCGCCTCCAGGCGTTCACTGCGGGGTGAATGGAGAGGCGCCCATCTCTGCACC